CATGATCCTGGGCACCTGACCTCAGTTCTTCTGGAATAGGGACATCAGACAACCTCCTTACTGGGGGCCCCTTTCCACCATCAGGCCCCATAGCTCCATACCATGGATTTGGTCATGGGGAAGGAATTAAGTTGATATTATGTAAAGTATGGAAGAAGAATACCGAAGAGCAATGTCATTTGTGGCAACACACAGAGGGAATCACAGGCAACAATGAACACGTCTCTACTCAGTGATTTCATATTTATTCCTCACCTGCACCAATTTCTGCCGGAATTTCCTCCTCATCAGTGATCACCGGCATCGCAATCTCCTCCTCCTTCGCTTCTTCTTTAACAGACACATTCTCCTTCACTTCTTCTTCTTCTTTAACAATTATATTTAGGTCTTCCAGGCTTTCCGGCTAAATATTTCATGACATAGACACGTTAGGTCCGACCAGTTCAGTTACAGACACCATAAAATACAAGATGGTCCTGTGTTCCGAGACCCTCATCTCCCATCTACCTGATCCTCCTGAGGGATCTCCTGATCTTCCTGTGTGGAATCCCGGGAATACAGAGGACGGGGACATCTCTCTGGTGGGTTCCTCTTACTGGATCTATCTGAGGGAGGCAAATAAAAGCAAATCAGCTTTATTGATTCTCTACGTCTTACGAACAGGGTGGACTTCAGAATGAAATATATCTCTGATCAATGAGAAAACCACTTATAAGGAATATACCCAAATATCCGCAAGTTGGCCACACACCAAGTTCCTTCCCCAAGATGTTACCACACACCACTGTGGGAATGCTTAGCTTCAATTCAATATGTTTTTGGAAAGCCATCCTTTAATGATCCTAAACTGTTACATAATCCTGTAAATAATTAAATAAATTACTGAACCTTCACATTCTCACATAATTCATTCCCACAGCTACCACAGCTACCTCATGTATCATTTCCCCCTCCTCTTTTAGATTGTAAGCCCTCAGGGGCAGGGCCCTCCTTACCATCTTGTCTTGAATTGTATTGTAACTGTAATGTCTTCCTTATATTGTAAAGCGCTGCGCAAACTGTTGGCGCTATATAAATACTATGTAATAATAATAATCCAATCAACGGAAAGAAACTCAAGAACAGGGCAACCCCAGATTCCCATAACCATAACTGGGGCTATTCCAGAAGAGAAGAACAGTACCCACAGACCTCCAAGTGAAGTCTACGGCAAACGGTCAGTTCGATCAACATGGGACTACACAAATACTATGGAATGTATTCCAAAGTTTGAAGCTCGGAAGCTCACAGAGAGCAACACACCCAAGATCAGACAAGACCACATTCATGAGGGCTACCAACGAAGGGGCAAGTCTTCTACATAACTGCAATCTGAGCTTTCCTTGCCGCCATAATGTAGGAAACCTCTGGTGATGTCTTCATGGCTGGACAGGTGGCCACAAGAGGTTTAAAAAATAAGACTGGGCATGATTAGCAGAGAGGAGACAAGACCACATTCTACGTCTAGATGTCTCCAGCTACCCAGTGATATCTTTGTATTAGTATGAGACACAGTGCAGGTTAAAGGCTAAAGACTGGATCAGAATAAGGACATTAATCGTCTCAGATGAACATACTGGAGCCATCAGTTAATTTGCTCTAACGTTTTGCTTTTTCATTTATTGGTACCAAAATGGAGTCTGCAAAAGCTTGTTGAGCCACCAAATCACTAACCTTCTGTGACCCCGCAGGCTCTATTTCTCAACATACAAATGATTAGGACTACCCTCAAAAGGTACTGCAACACTGGAAATTGGGAGATCCTTCAACTAAATAACACTCCATTAGCAACAGCATCACTTCTACTACAGGAGATGACACAAGAGTCCAGCTGCCATTGTACCCAACCTTTGGAGGTGTGTAGGGTTCACGGTACAGAAACTTGACTGCTCTTCTACAAAAGCTTGACGCATATCAGGACATGTAAAGGGACCACACCATGAAATAGTCTCTATATTTGGGGTTTATTACTCACTTGCGGTGGGCTGCAAAGTCATGTTTTCCTCGTCACACAGATCTTCTCCCATTGGATACGTCTCTTCTTCCTCCGTAGCTTCAACTTTAACATTAAACTGCTTTTCACCCTTAAGAAAGTAAAAATGTCTGATTTTATAGGCGGACGGATGTTGGTCTTTAAGAAACAAACAGACCTTCAGGTCTCACTTTCTGTTTGGAGTTCAAGACACTCATCTCAACATACCGGATCATGGTAAAGGATCTCATGATCTTCTAGTGTGGAATCCCGGGAATACAGAGGACGTGCCTGAGGGATCTCATGATCTTCTTGTGTGGAATCCCGGGAATACAGAGGACGGGCTTGAGGGATCTCATGATGTTCCTGTGTGGAATCCCGGGAATACAGAGGACGGGGACATCTCTCTGGTGGGTTCCTCTTACTGGATCCATCTGTAGGAAACACACACACTGACTGAATACATTGTTTCTATGTGTGTATCAGATGATGGGGGATCTAGGTGGACCCTCCGTACTGCTCTCTCCTCTTACCCGGTGATGTGAGGGGCGGCTCATTCTCCATCACCACGTCCTTGTAGAGATCCCGGTGTCCTTCTAGATACTCCCACTCCTCCATGGAGAATTAGACAGAGACATCCTGACACCTTATAGGAACCTGATACAGAATTATACAGTTTAACATGGCAATGTAATTGAGGAAAGAGGGGATCTCTACAGCCCTGTTCCAGCAACCTCCTTCTCCAAGATCTCAGAGCCCCCACCGTGCCTCCTTTAGACCTTCTCTACAGCATAGAGACCCAAGCTTCGCTCTCCCTGTATACAACTGGCAGATCAAACATATTGATTCTCACAAATCCCCCCCAAACCTCCCCCCTGTCTGTGCCTCCCCCAGTCTATTCAAGTCTGATTGCTAGACAGGAGCCAGTGCTGAGGCAGTGTCTGTGAATTGAAAGTCAGAGCTGTGCAGGGGATGACATGTGTCTTATCCCTAAGTAGTCCGGTTTGCCCTATTGTATCGTCAGTGTCCCTCCCCCACCCGCCGGTCTGCTGCAGAAACCGTCTCTGGAGATCTAATTCATGCATTGACTTTCTGAAAGTCAGCGTTAGCATATGGCCAGCCACGCCCACTGTCACCCACACACAAAACTCAAGCCTGGTGATTGGCCACTCCATAGTGGAGGTGTGTCTGTGAGGCAGCAATGGCAGGGAGGGCTCTTGCTATGAAAAGGACAAAGCAGGGCGCGTCCATGGGAACCGGGAGCGGTTGTTATGTACCTGATGTATAATACTAAATAATTCAGATAATGACACTGGGACGAGCACACACCTCCAGCACATCCCTCCTTCATAGACCCCTCCCCTATTCACACCAGCCACGCCCCCTGCCCAGCTGTGTGACACCCCCTCCCGCAGACATGACAGGAGAAGAGAACATTACCTGCTGCCAGCACCTAGCATGTCTGCCCTGCAAACATCCCACTTCCGGCTTTTTAAAGGACACTTCCGGTGCGTGCGTTCCAGCTAGTACAAAGACTTCCGGGTTTTGCGGTTCACATACTTCCGGGTTCTGCGTTCCAGCGCCGGGTGGGAGGGGCTCCCGTGATGCACTGCGGCGGTTGTTTTGGGAATAGCGGGCTCCGCTGAGAGGTGTGTGTCATGTGTAGTTGGAGGAGACAGAGAGTGAAATCTCCCCAACCGCACCCCAGGGCCCCCCAATTCTTCCCTCAAACCCCTCCATGTACCACCCCAGTGCCCCCCATATGCCCCTGGCATGATCCTCCAAGTGCCATAGCTCCCCACATTTCCTCAGTGTCCCACATTATATCTTCCCCCCAGTTCCATGCTGTGATTTTCCCCTCTCTGGGCCCTCAAGTTTCTCCTCTGTGTCCCCAATTCCCCATGGTGCATCCTAATTTCCCCTAGTGCCCCCAATTCCCTCCAGTACCCCCCAATTACACTGTTCTTCAATCCCCACTCATTCAATGCCCCCTCAATTTTAAAACCGTGCACCCCAATCCCCCCCGTACCCATTTTTTTACCCATTTTTTTTCTCAGTGCCACCTAACCCCCCTCAGCATCCTCTAATATCTCACCATGCTCCCCAAATTCACCCAGTGCCCCCCTCTCTTTTGCCAAACCTCGTTACTGAGCTGCAGCATTTCCCATGCGACCACTTAGCACTTAGGGGGATATCATCAGCATCTCTAGGACATAAGCAAGTAAGAATCTACAATGGAGATTTCTATAATCCTTGCCATGTACATAAATGACACCGGGAGTTACTGTCATATTGGGCTGAATTAACCAATCACATTCACTGCCATTGTCCAGCAATGGATTTTAGTGGAGGGGGGGGGGGGTAACATAAGGCAGTTTTGGTGAATGCAGGGTAAAGACGTTGGCTTGGCGTGGTGGAGATGGGCATTCTTAGCTTTCTGAAGGAGGAGTTGGCACCTGCTGCAGGTAATTTAGGCCGCACCGGTTCACAAGGTCGGCATTCACAGGAAGTCCACCAAGAGCCCTCCTATTTGTACTCAGGTCACGTATCTCTAGAGCTTCATAAGAGGAGCCCACCCCCCTTATAGCTAACTTCCAGTGTCTTCTCTTGCCTTGGCTGAACGGAGTCCACAACTTCAAAGATCTAGAAAAGTCTATCAGTAGCACAGGACCGGCATGTGGTAGAAGGACACAGTGTCTGAAGTGGGGTCTCCAAATACCAAGGCGTGTTGGACGGCGGCAGCCACCCAAAGGGAAGGGGTGGTGTGGACGGGCTTTCGCTCACTTCAAGTGAGTTTTACATTCCAATAGGAGAATGCTAACCCCACTTGAAGCAGGTCAGAAGGAGGCCAACTGCACAGCACATGGAGGTCACAGGAAGGCCAACTGTAGGTCACATGTAGGTCATAAGGAATCCAACTGCAGACCATATGTAGGTGAGAAGGAGGCCAACTGCAGGTCACATGTAGGTCAGAAGTAGGCCATCTGTGGGTCACATGTAGGTGAGGAGGAAACCAACTGCAGGTCACACATAGGTCAGAAGTAGGCCATCTGTGGGTCACATTTAGGTCAGAAGGAGGCAATCTGTGGGTCACATGTAGGTGAGAAGGAAACCAACTGCAGGTCACGCATAGGTCAGAAGGAGTCCAAATGCAGGTCACATTTAGGTCAGAAGAAGGCCAACTGCAGGTCACATGTAGGTCAGAAGGAGGCCAACTGCAGGTCACATTAATGTCAAAAGACCAGCTGCAGGTTACACGTAGGTCAGGAGGAGGCCAACTGCAGGTCATATGTAGATTAGAAGGAGGCCAACGGCAAGTCACATGTAGGTGAGATGGTGGCTAACTGCAGGTCAGAAGGAGGCTAATTGTAAGTCAGAAGGAGGCCAACTAGGGATACGCCGATACCGTTTTTTTTGGTATTGAGTACGAGTACCGATATTTTTTTCCCCGGTAATCGCCAATACCGATACCGGAAGTCCCATTAAGGAAGCCAGGCGGCGTGTAATGACTCGCCACCCGGCTTCCCGATTAGCAGGGAAGCCGGCTCCATGCTCCCTCGCCATGAGGTGACAATTCCCCGACCAATCAGGAAACCGGGCAGCGAGTCATTGCACCCTGCCCAGCTTCCTGATTGGCCGGGAAGCCGACTCCCTGCTCCCTCTTCACAAGTGACGAGGGAGCCGGCTTCCCGGCCAATCAGGAAGCCGGGCAGCGTTTAATGACTCGCTGCCCGGCTTCCTGATACCGGAAGTATCGGGCTAGGCATTTGTGCGAGTGTGAGTACTCGCCCAAATACTCGGCACCGATACTAGTATCAGTGCATCCCTAAGTCCAACTGCAGGTAACATGCTCCTGACAATGAATTCCGAATGATCCCAGAAATGTCTCGAACAGATGTCATAGACACAAGGCCAAAGCCTGTCCACACAGGCCCTAGATTTGATGAAGAAAGATGGGCCGCGATTCTTGATGACCGGCCATTGGAGTTCTTGTGACTTCTTCCATGAACCATGTTGGAGCCAACACTTCTCAGTACCGCGCCTCACAAGGGGAAGATATCTTCCCGATTACTTTCTGCCCGTGTACAATCAGCTTTAGATGAATCAAATCGATGTCATTCGAGAGCTGACCTGATCCATCTATTCACACCAACCCCCGCACTACATACTTACTGGTAGATCTAAAGGAGATTGTGCAATCAGATTGTAATGTGTGTGGCGAGCTTAAGAGTGTAGGTCTATAGATAAATATGAACAATACAATTTATTGGTTCATTAAAAATATATACAATATATATACATCACATCTGCAATTCAAAATGTGCAAAAATGAGCGTTTTTAGGTTTCGTTACAAGTGCAATGTAATATTGAATGTTTCGTTGTAATATCACATTATGGCCACTAGAGAGCGCCGAGGAGCACAGAGAAATAAATACTTATTTCCTATAGTCCTTTGGTGCCATCTAGAGGCCATAATGTGATATTACACCAAAACATTCAACATTACATTGCACTTGTAACGAAACGAAACTTAAATATTTGTTTTTGCATATGCGCACACATAATTATTATTATAGAGGTTTTATATATAACGCCAAAAGTTTGCGCAGCGCTTTGCAATAGAAGAAAGGCATTACAATCATAATACAATTCAAGACAAGATGGTAAGGAGGGCCCTGCCCCTGAGGGCTTACAATCTAAAAGCGAGGGTCCAGTGATACATGAGGAGGGAGCTGTGTGGGGATGAATTGTGTGAGAACGTGATGGTTGAGCGGTTAGGTTGAGGTGGGATCGGCTTCCCTGAAGAGATGAGTCTTAAGGGATCGCCTAAAGGCAGTCAGAGTGGGAGATAGACGGACAGGTTGGGGTAAAGAGTTCCAGAGGATGGGAGACACTCTAGTGAAGTCCCGGAGGCGAGCATGGGAGGAGTTGACGAGGGAGCTGGAAAGCAGAAGGAATGTTCACAGATATTCGCAGGGTGAAGGGCCCTGCGGGTTCTTTATAAATAGACCCCTGTGCTTCAGTGAGCCTTTTTCTACGTGATGCTCACCAAAGCGTGCTCCTAAACACCTGATAGTTCACATGTTCGTGAAAATGCTAAAAGTCCAAAATCTTTTCAAACAGCCTATAAAGACGTTCATCGTGATGAGGTGTTGGGGGAGGAGACGTTCTGCCCTTTGCCACGTTTATTTCTCCAGAACCTGAAAACAAAAAGATGTAATTTACTACAAAGACAACCCTCGCACAGCTCTCCTATCAGGGGGGTCATGGAGATCAGCAGGGAAAATGCATTTCTTTCACCCAGACATAGTCAGTCCAGGGGTGGCCAGCAAAGGTTGGAGTGTGTGTATATGTATGTGTGTGTGTGGGTGTATATATATATATACACCCACACACATACCGATTAGCTACAACATGATGGCCCCTGAGAGGTGAAGTGAATAACA